GTTGTCGGCTGTTGTCGCCGCTGGTCGGCTGCGGCGCTGTCTTAGTGCGTAAATTGCAGTAGATCTCGCTCCGTCAGAGGGTCTGGTGGTAGTAAACATCGTTCGACCATATGCAGGTACGGCATCGTCCCAATTAGAAAGCTCTGCGACATAGATTCCAAGGCGCAAATGATGTGGTGACAGTGACAAACAAGTCTCTTTGGTCTTCACTTTTACAGACGGTTATGACGTCTTTTGCATGTAATACTCATGACGACGCCCAGGTTCACGAACACGACCTGCTTTCGTCTGCGCGATGAAAAAGAGCTTTAGGGGTTTAACGTCGGCAGAGCGATGGGGTTTTACTTCGGCTAGTTGTGGCTGTACACACATGTCTGCACAATACCTCGTACATCCGCCGTGCACATTACTGTACTCTCCCACACCTCTCTCCCACCCCTCTGTTGTGTAATTCTGATTTAATTCCTGACAAGTCCATGTTGTAGAAGCTATTGAGACTCTGACCGCTTTGTGCTTTAGAAACTTAAGACTCGTAAAGACTCATATGTGGGGTTATATCCGGTTCTTTAATTTGTTTTGCGACCGGCACTGCAGGTGCGCTGAGTCCGAGACTCTCACCCAGCCGGAAAAAGGAAAGGACCTCGCCAAAAAGAGTTTTCAGTAGAGAAAGGTCTTGGGCGGACTGAACCAGGCTGAATGGAACACATAGGCCTAGGCTCAATGGGGATCAGAAGCTTCAAGAAGACTAATTACAAACTTGGGGAGCGAAGGTGCCCGCATTTCTTGGAGTTTTCGTTTGAACTGTGAATCCTTCTTGGTCGCCCCATTGGGCAGAAATCTGCCGATCCTTTTCGGACCCAGTCGTGCCTTTTTCAGAGATGTTGAACGATGGATGTGGGGCGATGTGCTGAGGTGTTGAAGAGACAGAGAGGAAGATCGGACATGAGGGACATGTGGTTGACATGCAGCTCACCATGGTTTATTGTTTATATTGTTTATTTGATATTTTTTCCATAAACTTTGGTCATGCTCCTTCCTTCGCTGTTTCTGGTTAGACTTGCAGCTCACCTCAGACCTGCTCGTTCCGTCGGGCTCAAGAACGCCAGAGGGAGCGCCTCACCGGGAACGAGGAACTTCGACTCTCTGAGATGGCTCCATCCACACAGATCGCTGTGGCCGCTGCAGCCTTGGCAGGTGGGAGCAGTTCGGAAGCCGGCGAAGCGGCGAAGTTCCGAGGAACACGATGGGAGCAAGTCATAAGCAGGTATAGGTGGCGAGAGATTTTAGCTTCACACTAGGGAGATCACTTCTATCTTATTTGAAGTCTTCTTTCTTTAGAACCCTCCGGATCATCTGTGGAATTGCAGAACCGAGTTGGCTAAGACAGTAATTTATCACTATCTATACTACTACCTTGGGCAGAATGACAAGTAAAGCAAGAAGCAAACATTAATCCCACATAATCCCTTGACCTCCTGACTTTTTATATCTTTCAACTAAAAATGTATCATACACTGCGACTATTCCATATTCAAAAGGCATTAACGAAATCCATTTAAATATATACCTCTCTTTTTGTGGACCTCTTATCACATCATAATTATTCTTTAGCAAAATAACACATGGATGTTGTAATCCAAGAAATACCAACAAATTCAATCAATATAGTGTTTGTCTTTGCATTTCTATCCCACATTTTAGAGGAAATCATCACCATTATTACTGATCCTGCATTTAATGGTAAGTTGCTAAGAAACCAATAGCAGGATAAATGACAATGACAAGGTGAACCAACAATCACAAGGTGATATAAGATAGAGAGAGGATTAATTATGGGATTGTTGGTTCATTAATCTTTTTCTCTCTTTCTCCTCTCTTCTTCGAGGAGATGTAGATGCCATGAGACTAGTACAAAGTCAACAACGCACTCTCGATACTTAGAATGGCAAGTCCAGATGTGTACACATGCGAGACTTTGGCAATTGAGCTGACTTGGACAGCAGTGGAAAGGGACAAGTACGCATACTATGGCATGCTTTTCTGCAGCCTCAACCCACTTTGTACTGGAGCCTTATTTCTTTTCTCTTCCTATAACAAATATATTAGATATGTATTTATATATATATGCATACTGTATATATATATATGGTACCCCCCATGTGGAAAGTGTTCAAAACAACCATTTGGGGAAAGGTCCCAAAATATCACTAAAGCACTGTAGTTTACATTAAGCAACACACTTTGGGTCGGTATTGGAGGGGGGTATTATATATATATATATATTTATGGTTCAGAACGTGCAGAATTCACTGTAAATACTACTGAAAAGTGCAAAAAGGTAGTTCTTGCTGGGGGCAGCATGCATAGATATATACTGTACATATATAGTATATAAGTATGTCGCGTAACGCGTACACATGCTGGGTAGGGAAAGCTCTGATACATCTGTGATTTGCCTGTTCACACCGCATGAGGCTGTGCCTTCGTTCTGCCCCAGACTGGCACTCAGAGTGCCCCAGCCCTTCGACGCAGCGCGCAAACACAGGCGCGTGGGGAGGCTGAAGGGGAAGAGAGAGCACCAGCAGAAGACGAATGCGGTTGCCAGATATGTGAGTTGATGAGTTTGAGTCTGCAGTCTGCATGTGCATTTCCTTTTGAGTCAAAAAAGGCAATGACTCTGAGCCTGTCGAAAGTTCTGAAGTCTCTGAAGGCCTTGGAGGGTCCTATCCACTCTTTGTATATTCCATCAGTTCTGAGGCTAGCTCTGGACGCTTGCAGAGTGCCGCCCTGAGAGGAGAGATGAGCACAGCAGACGTGATCGGCGTAATTTGGGAAACAGGAAGCGATGGCCTCCAACCTAGAATATGGTATGATAGGAAGAAGCACGATCTCCCTCTATTTGCGGCACATCAAGCAAGCTGCCTTTTACCCTAGGGGTGTGCTTGAACCTTCCGCAAGAAGGCTTTCAGCAGACAAGAACAGTAGGATCTGTTGACGAACAAGATAAACTTATAATTTTTTTTTGTAATTTTTCTACGACTTGTGATGAATTGGAGTCCCAAGGACACGGAAACAGTTTTCCTTCGGATTTTGCCGCCGCTGCCGCCCCTTTCGTATCCTTTCAAAACTGCCGGTTTTGAAGCGCAAGAAACGTCCCTCAGGTTCGTTGGCTGCCAGCACCGCGGTGGGAGTCCTGGCCGCTGCAGTGGTGCGGGCACGGCAAACGAAGCAGAGCTCCACCGGGTTGAAGGCCTTCGAGAACGAGCTAGGTAGGGTTGGGCCGCGGGGCAGAAGTGGAGGGCGGTGGGATGAGCCCATGAGGATTGACCAGAGAGTCCAATCTTTGGCAGTTGGCGTCATGTGCGAGGCGGCCTCACTTGTAGCCTTACGTGTCAGGTCCTCCACCACCAGAGCAGGGTTTCTGAACAGATGACCAACATTAACCAACGGCTCCTCTGAAAACCAGGAATGATCCATGTCCATCAACCATGTCGGTTTGGCTCCCGGAACCGAAAGCGGATTTCATCTTCAAAGCCTCTTTCAATTAACATGTGGTTACCTCTATGATTCAAAACATGGGGAGGAGTCTCGTGAAAGGGCACTGCAAATTCCTTAGGCACAGCTCAATGATAAACCTTAAGTTTGAAGAGCTGTGGGCTATTGTTTAGAGACCTTCAAGTCGCCTGGATCAGAATATTTTGATGAGAAATGCAGCAGATCTTGTCCAATTGAGGGTACTATTGATCCCCACCTCCGTTCGGTCCGGTCAGTATCATCAACGTCTTGACATGTGTCTTTGCCAACATCTCGAAGTGTCAACGGAAGTGCAGTCAGTGGCACCTCTTTTCTTGAAACTTTGATAGCCCCCATCGTCTTGCCAGTGAGACTCCACAGTCAGTGGACTCTGTGAACGCCGGAAAGAACGCCGGAACGAGCGGCGACCGCAGGAGTCCAGGCTCCCTTGGGCTTTTGGGATCCTGCTGGCCTTTCCTCAGATGGCGATGCGCGGGAGTGATGTGCTTGATTTTTTGGGAATAGTGCTACTTTTGGGCGGCTCCAGGGACTGCAGGGAGTGAGACAGTATGGGTTTACAGAAAAGAGGGTTTGCACATGTCGCACTGGGCCTGTGGGATGTTGATCAAATTCTCGCGTGACGAACGATTGAAACCTTGGTTGTCATATTAAGTAGGTCTTTCCATGACCATTTTTTGGTGTTCAGAAGTGCCACATATCATTGTTAGCTTCTCTGAACTTTTTGGAAGGTCCTTTGAAGATCTGCAAGAAGAGTATTGCTCAGGGGGGCTGAAATCAACTAATGAGAGAGTAGATGAAAAAGAAGTGGTTGGGGCGTTCTCTCGTTTCGAAAACTATCGCACTTGAATTCAGATCAGACATTTCATATCCTGACAGATCAACTACTAGGAACCTGCCCTTTCGATTGCAACAGACCGATCCTATGAAGCACAACAAACGGAGTTCTGAAGCTTGAATGTTTTGCCTTTTTCAGTCTTCCAAGACCAGAGTGCGGTCTTGCTCTTCTAGAAAAACAGCTACCCGGCATCCTCCTGTAGGCGTAACGTGCTCACGCTAGGAGTTCTACCGCCGCCGTGTCGTAGAGATCAAGCATGGACGTGTCTCCATGTTGGCCTGTGTCTCGTTGAGAAATTGAGTGCTGCTGCTTGTCCTGGCGATCAGTGCTGTGACTGTCCTTGGTGATGTTCATAGATGTTTTTCCATGGGTTTTGGGTTGTCCATCAAAAAGGGGGGCAGATTGTAACGGTCCCCTTCAACACCTGGTGTTCATTCACTTGTTGCGCTTTTGGTGGGATTTCGACGGCAGATGTGTAAAGACCGGGACAGGGACGGTGGTTCTATGCCTGTCGAGAAATCGAGCTCCTGGAACCGAGGCACCGGATACATCGTGCAGGAGTTCTTCCGCTTCCCAGGCCTGGAGAGGGAACTGCTCCTTCCGGAGTGAGGGGAACATGGGCGTTCTGACCTTCTCATTTTGACCTTCTTGATCCTTTCAAGATTCCTGCAATCCCTCTGCGGGTTGGTGGCTCCTCGCTTCGCCTCTAAAGGCCGTACATTACTGAACAATGATATCGTTTTTTATCGTTTTTGCTTTGCCTTGCCTCAGCTCATCCACTATCACCGCACTTCACATTCATCTCGTATCAACCTTCTCTCGCTTTGTCCTGCACCTTCATCGCATTCTAATCTCAACTTTAAGGTGCCATTTCCGGTCGTTGGATCACGTTTGTACTCGTTGTGATCACAGTGCAACTAGGTGAGACGTGCACAGCACACCTTTGCCATTTTCACTATTAGACTCTAGTCCCTAGCCGCTCTGCAGTGTAATTATTTGATCTATTGATTTTCAGACCCATCATCTAAAGCTTCGTCCAAAGCAAAGCTCGAATCTGGTGACTTGAACCTTTTTTCTGGACAATAGGTCCTTTTTGGGGGGATGTTGCTGATTGCTTGGAGACCAGAGTCTTGTGCTGTCATGCTGATATGATGCCCCAATGTTCACAACCACCTTATACTGCCTTGTGATGAGGCCAGAGTCTTGCGCTGTCATGTTCTCCCAAATGCACTGACTTCAGTGTTCACAGCCACATCATATAGACATTTCCCTTTCACCCCATGGACCTTGCTTGGGTACTACTCGATGATGTTTCTCTGTGTGGTGGTGGATAACGTATGTGTCAATGGTTTATCATGGTTGATGATACTAGTGACTTCAATACCATCATGCTTGTTTTTGATTTACAGGGGGGAGTCCGCCTAAACCGGGGGAAGGCGGACTACCTGGGACGGACGCGCGCCGGCTTTGTTCTAGCTTAAGCACTTAAGCATGTCATGAACACATAGCTATGCGTGAAGTTTGAACATATATAGTGACGGCCCGAAACTTAGAATGACTTTTTTGTCACTTCGGATGAAAAAACTCTCCTCAGAGTCGTTTTTGGTGCATTTTGGCTATAAAACATCGCTCCTGTGCAGTGCCTGTGCAGGACAAATAAACATAGAATGCTCAAAAAGTGGCGCGTTCTAAGTTTAAGGGGTGTTCTGAAAAATATAAAAAACCACCAGTTTTGTAGAATTGGTCAAACAAGTTAGAAGGGGTGCAAATTTCCACAAATTTTGGCACGCAGCGGTGTTCAAGGGCAAAAAAGCTGCGACATTTTTTTCGTGCGCAGGTGCCTTTTTTCAACCAGAGTAGGCAAACTTAGAACCCCCGATCAGTGGCTAGACTTGAAGAATATTAATATTAGCACTGCAAAGTGACCTTGGTTGCACTGCAAAGTGCTCATATCTTGGTTGAATTCATGTTTGGGCCCATCTATAAAAATACAACTAGACACTTACATTTGTTCCTCCTGATGCAGCCTGGTGGGTCTGGCCTCCGGCCTAACCATGAGGTTCAGACAAAGGTCAACCCAGGTCTGGATTCCGGCCTGTGGTTCATGAACAAAAGATGGCGGAGGGACTATATACCAGAGTTTGGTGTCCGGCTCTGGTAGCCC